CTCTCCAGAGAGGGTTTCTCTAATATCTTCCATGCCTTTTTCGAGCCCGGCTAGAACCTTGAGAATCATCATTCTGAACTCTAGATCTGACATATTACCAATGTCTGTATTGATTAGGTCCCTAGCCTTCGGTATTGCCTCTTGTTCTTTTTTTTTGTGGTGAGTTTTTCCCACCTTGTCATTTTGTCCAGATAAGAATATATGAAGGAGCAAATAAAATACTAAAAGGGTGGCAAAGACCCCAGGAAAATGCACTTTAACCAAATCAGAAGAGACCCCAAATCATGGGGGGGGGGGAGAGAAAGGGGATAAAAAGAAGCTCAGAAAAAAAAAATTAAAAACAGAAAACAAAAAATATAAAAAAGAGAAAAATATATATATATTAGACTGGTGACTAGAACAGGGTCACCCACTTAATTTTGGGAGTATTTTGGTCTCTTAGAAGAAACTACCTCCCAAATTTTAAAGAATGAAAAACATATATAAGGGTAAACACAATGAAGGGATGGAATATGCCTATAAAGATGAAAAAAAAATTTTTTTTTTAATTTCTAAAAAAGTAGTGGATAAAGTAAGTTGGTTGGGAGAATAAAGAAAAAGAAAGTGGAGAGAATTTGCTCGGGCTGGAGAGTAGAACAAGCCCAGAGCTAGATTTAGGGTATATTTTGATCTATTAGAAGAAGTTGTACCCCAAATTTTTTAGAAGGAAAAAACCCTATGTGTATACAAAAAATAAAGTTAGATACAATGAAGGATAAAATATGAATATAATAATGAAGGTTCAAAAAAGATTATTATTTATTTTTATGAAAGGTATTGTTAAGGTAAACTAGTTTAAAAAACTTTAAAAGAGGAAAGGGTAAAAGTTAAAAAAAATTTAGAAGAAGAAAAAAAATTAAATTTACTGCAAGACTAAAGAATCATGGGGAGAAAGCCATGAATTCCATGCTTTGCTTTCTCCTCCTCTGGAATTCCACTGTTCTCCTTGGTAAATGAACTTGGTCTTGGCGGAATTTCTTGTCGATCTTCTGGGGGAGGGGCCTGTTGTAGTGATTCTCAAGTGTCTTTGCCCCACGTGGAATTGCACCGCCCTAATCAGGGGCCAGGCTAAGTAATCCGCTCGGGTTCGCTTTCGGGAGCTTTTGTTCCCTGAATGCTTTCCGTAGAGTTCCGGAGGATGGGAATGAAAATGGCGGCCTCCCAGTCTCCGGCCCAGAGGAGCCAAGGGTTCAGGGGCCCCACTCCTCAGTGCGCCCTCAGAGAAAAGCACTCAATCACTCCTGTTTCCCTGGCCTCTGGCTGTGCTCCGAGCTCACCCAGCCTGTGACCCGTTCAAGGTAACCCCAAGCTGAGAGCTCACTCCTCAGCTCTGTCTCTGTAGCAGGCTTCCCCGCTCTAACACCTGCGAGCTCTATGACACTCAGACACCCCCAATCCTTCTGTGACCCTGCGGGACCTGGGGCCACACTGACCCCGCATGGGCTTCACCCTGGTTTAGCCTCTGGAGCGATGTTGCTCAGTGGAGCAGACTTTTAAAAGTCCTGATTTTGTGCTCCGTTGCTCTGCTGCTTGCCGGGAACCGGCCCCTCCCCCCACGGTCTATCTTCTGGTCGCTTTGGATTCATTTCTCCGCCGTCCTACCTTTCAGAAAGTGCTTGATTTTCTGTTTCTAGAATTGTTGCTCTTCTTCTGTTTGGTCTCCTGTTGGATTTGTTGTGTTTGCAATGGTTTGATAAGCTATCTAGCTGATCTCCTGCTACCTGATGTAGTCTCAGCCGGCTACTTCTCTGCCATCTTGACTCCTCCCCTGCTGAATTAAATACCCTTCTTGAAATGCCCTCTTATGATACCATGAGCAACAGGAGATAGATTCTATAGGTTAAACAGAACCATGTAGGCCATGGTGAGGAATTTGAAATTCACTCGACAAAGAACAAGAGTAATTCATCTAATGGAAGAAAGTGATATCATTTGTATTTTTTAAAGATCCTTCTAAAAATGGTGTGGAAAACATATTTTGGAGGAGAAAGAGAGAAAGTAGGCTAACAGGAGCTGTACAACATTAGTAAGAAGACATGAAGTATATTTTGGAGAAATAGGTGTCAAGATTTGTTGATGGATTGGATATAAAAGGTTGAGAGTTCTGGAATGTCTTCTAGACTATCAAAACTTGAGGGGGAATAGAAGTGACATTTACTGAGAAGAGGAAAAATGGCAGAGGACAGGTTTGAATGGGGGTATTGAAAAGAGATTAGCTTTCCAAGAAAAGATGTTAGGTAGGTGGCTGGATGGGAGTTCGAGGCTCAGCAAAGAGGCCAGGGCTAGAGAGATAAATTCGTTCCTTTGACTTCAACCTTAAACTTCTATTCCTTGTTTCATCTCCTTTGGGTAGTATTTCTTCAGTACTCATGTTAAATAAAGATATTAGCACCCTTCTTTCTACTTCCCATCTTCTGTCAACTCTTGATACACTTTTCTTGTTAAGGCTCATAATCCTGTAAACACATTTAAAATTTCCATACTATTATCTGTGTAATGCTAAAAGCTGAAAACTACAAAATAACATTTATAATATAATTATATGAATTTTGTTCACTTAAGGGCCAAATATTGTGCTGGGACTACATTTCTTTCTCAGTGGGTCCAAAGCCTGGTGCCACTTGAAAAAGAATGGTTCTAGTATTTCTGTTAAATTAATCCTCTTTTCTAAGTCAAAAAATTTTTCCCTGGAAATTTTGAAGACATAACTCCATTGTGCTTTTGTATCAGCACTGCTTGATTCCATACGGATTCTTATTTCTTAGTGACTAATTTTTCTTTCTCTTTATGGAAACTTACAGAATCTTCTTTTTATGATTGTTGCTTTGCAATTTCGTAATGATATATAGGCTGTATCCTTTGTCCCTTCACACTTGGAAGCACTCAGTAGACTCCTTTAATGCCTCTCTCTTATACTGGGAAACTTTGTTATTATTCTAGGGGCTGTGTAGAATACTGGTTTTTATTGGAAGTAGACTGAGTTCAAATACCAGTTGTTTGCTCTGTAGCTTTGAGGAAGTTATTCAAACTCTGTGCTTGCTTTCTTATCTGAAACATGAGAGTATTAATAATATTACCATACTAATATATTCCTTACAATTGGACTGAGAATCGAATGGGTAATATTTAGGAAGTTCCATAAAATGCCTGGCAAATACTATGTGCTCAATAAATGTTATGTGTTGATAATTATCTCTGCTTTTAGTTTTATTCCTTGCTTTTCTGGAGCTTCAGAAAAGTTGGACCTCCCAGACTGATTCTCCACTTTGCTTTTATCTCTCATAGTTTCTAATTTTTTTGTCGTTGCTGCTGCTGTTGTTTTATGTTCTGTGATGTTTCCTTGACTTTACCCTCCAAACATTAAAAAATGATAACTTGGCATAATTGTAATCTTTGGCTGTACATTCATAAACTAAGAATAGGATAAGAGATCAGCTTGAATTATCAGAAAACATAACTGGTGTGGTTAGTTGACTACCTGGATGAGGCACTGGGCTCCACTAGTCTTAACGCTGGCATTGAATAGAATGTTCATGACTGGAGTGGTTCTTTAAAAGATAGACTTTCCGGTTGCCCTTGGATTCTCCCCTTGGATTCATTCTTGCCTTCTGCTTTGCCTGCTGACTGAGCCTTCAGCTACCCTGGGGTTTTGTCAGACAGATTGGCTCTTTGCTGCCTTTCCCTCTGTCTTTTCTAGGCTATTGCTTCTTTGCTTTCTGTAATCCATCAACAAGTTTTCATTCCTTCCCACACTGCAGAAAGTTCTTCTTTCCATTCTCTTCATCTTTGTGGGTTGATTGCTTTACTATCACTTAATAGAGTATGGGTGGTGGTGGATTTAGATGTCTGTGTTCAGTCTACCATCCTGAATCAGACTTCATTACCTTTCTAAAGGAGAGACCATGTTACAGATCATCTAACAGTCCTCTCCATTAACTACCACGCTTAAAGTGGAAATCATGCTGAATATGACCATTTTCTAATGTTCTGATCTTCAACCTACTTGCCCTTTGTATCCTTAACTAGATTGGCCAGATCACAGAGACCTGAAGGCTAAAATTAAGTAAGGGACTGGTGACTGCTAAAACCAATCCTTTGTTGTCTACTGTCATGTTCAGAAAATTATCTGAAGTTTAACTTATGAACTTTTATATGGAGTGATGACCAGAGTGAGTATTCAATAAATACATTTTTGTTTTGACGTGATCGTGCACTTCTTTAAGACCTGCGAAAGTCTACTCAGCTGTAAAGATGATTAGGACATGTGGTAGGAAACAGATAGAAGCTGACTTAATGTGAAAATGTTTATTATAATAACATGGTCAGGTAAATAACTTTGAGATCTGACAATGTTTTAACAGTCCATGTAGCAGTATTTCCTACATTGTTTTGTGGGATACCAGTCATGTGAAAATCTAGAAAAAGGGTGAGGTGGTCAGTAGTGGGGAAAACATAACATTCTTTATTCTTCCTTTTGGAACACATTATGCTTGTGCTTACAGTAAGGGTTTTAAGAGTTCTGTGGCTTAAAAAAATCTGTTTAGCTTTATAAATTCAGTTCTCAGAAAACTTATTTGAGCACTTCCCTCTTTTTTTGAACATCACAAGGAATTAGTGTCCCTCAGAGTACATTTAGAGAAATACTGTCTACAATTTTAGTAGTTCTTAAAATGTGGTGTCAACAATAGTGAACAGAATGCTACTAAGTATATGACTTGGAGGTCGGTGTTATCATGATCAGGCCAATTTTTATTATGTTATTGTAAATATGTTTGGAGATAAGCTGTCCACCAAGAAGGGATAAAGAACAAACATGTCAAGGGCTGCACTGGTTGTATGTGTATTTTCAACTCCTATAGAGAAATAATTTTCTCAGGAGAGGCCAGTACATTGAATACACCTTAATTTGATAGCAGTAACCTGGGAGAATGGGAAAGGGATTTTATCACAGCTAACCTTACCTATTCCACAAGAAGGCTTTTGCAACTTGCTGTGTTTGACTGGCAAAACCAATGGACATGCTGGTTTTTGAAAGTCACTCCTCTGGGTGCTCTTAGTGTCATAAGGTGGTTGGAAGGGATGCTCCAGTCTTTTACCATGTGACCACCAGTCACCCTTTATGGGAAAAAAATTGGAAACACAGAATTGAATACTATAGAACATTTTCATATATTGCTTGATGTCTCTGAATGTTCAATTTTCATTCAATAAGTTATTGGGTATTCTAGTACTAAAATGGAATCCTATAATCTAGGAATCAGTATATTTTTATAAAGACTGAATTTTTTGAAAAGGTACTTAAAAGTGAATTATCATATATTTTCAGCAAAATAAAGCTGCTAAATTCTTAAACTACTTCCTGTCAACAGATGGAATGGTAAAAATCAACTAATTATATTCCTATATTTTGTACTACCATTTTATTTTATATATATATGTATATATATGTATATATATGGCTCGATTTAATGTAAAAATTATGTTCTATACTTTTCATTATGAAAATACAAATAATGTATTATCATCTAATATGGTAGTTTTCAGTTTTCCGTCCATGATCCACACCATGAAATAGATTTTGCCATGCAAGAACACACAATGTGTAAAGTACATAAAACACAAAGTTTCACAATATTTATTCTTACTACATGCAGTGCATTTGACTTTTTTTCTATTTTATCATTTGTCTCTTCTATTCCATTTCACAATGCTAGTTGCAACCCACATTGTTTTATAACCCACTAGTACCTCAGTTTGAAAAATTTTGTTCTAAGGGAAAATATCTCCAATGTTACTAAATTTTTGATGGTAAAACCTAACTTAAGCATCCAGGAAAGGGAGAACTAATAGATTCTCCACAAGCACATATTTGCCACAAGAATCTGATCTCTTAGAAGTTGTGAAAAGAGTGAGGGGAAACTTACTCAGCTTAATTCTAAATAAACACTTTTTTTTTTTTTTTTAATCTAGTTGATCAGGTAAACTTAAGACACCTTGGGAAGAGAAACTGTGACACCTGGGAGTTCTTGGATATTATTAGACAATGAAAGTAACTTTGGGTATAATCACACACCTACTTTGGGCTTTGAGGAAAGAGATGGGGTTTTTTAAAAATCAGCCATGATTTCATAGTCAGAGACTTGAAAAATATGATTCAAAGGGGAAGAATATGATATCACAGAAGTAAAATTCTGACAGTACAGTTGAAGCTACAGTGCTATGAAAAGAGGCATTTGAAGACATTTTATCTGACTCCATAGGGAGTCAATTCCCAAAGTAGCTTAGTTTCTAAGAAGACAGGCATGTATAAAAGAGGTGTACAATATCAAATTAAAAAAATAATTTCATGGAGTCACCTTGTCAGGAGATTGTCAAGAAGCTTAGAAGAAATTCATGATATATGTCAAAGGCAGCAAAAATAGAGTTTTCTGGGAGAAAAAATCTGTTATATCAAGAAATCACAGAAAGGCTAAGAATTTGAAGAAGAATACATAAATTCAGAGCTGAAAGTCAGAGCTCCTCAACTTTAGGTTCTTCGTTAAGGGATATTATCTTCAAACTGAAAAAGACAGGATGAACATGGACCCATGAGGGAACTGAACCCTCTGGAACTGAGGAAGAGAGAGTTAGACCTCACTTGGAAACTTTTAACAACTGCCAGTTTTTAGGCCAATGACAAATTGTAACCCAGGGTAATGAATAACTTTGCAGAGATCAAAGGAATTTAGGAACAAAGGAATTTTGGAGAACAGGAGAGATGGGCTGAAGGGTGAATAACAAAAATTAAGACTACTTGATGTCGATCCTGGGAATTCTAGAACAGATTACTCAACAGATGGTGTCTTCTCACTATCTGGCTGAAAATAGTCACATCTAACTTGTCAGAATGCCTGTTTCCTGCAGGCCTCCTCCACTGCATGAGAATGATAGTGCTTATTGTGCCCCAAGGTCTCAGATTTATAGGCCTTTTCTCACTTACCCTCACCACGATTCTGTGAGTAGATACACACCCACTTCACAGATGAGAAAACTGCTGGGAGATTAACTTCCCCAAAGTGTATCCCTAGCAGGCAGCAGAGCTGTCCAAGTCAGAGCCCTGCCCCCATCCATGCAGGCCTCCCAATTTCCATGCTTTATTGCTTTATCACATCTGCTGTAGAATGCAAAGCAGATAACCACAAACCTACTTAAATTATTTCAGGAGTAACAATAGAGAGATTATGAGTAACTTGAGAAAGCTCTTCTATGAAAAGGCTTTAAGAAGACATTGTATATTATCTTCTTTGTTGATTAGAAACTTATTTTGCTAATACCCAAATTACTGGCTAAGTGACTCTGGGATGAGCAAACTTCCTGGCAGCACTCAATTATTTTTTTTGAACAAGAGTTTATTGCAAAAGTTACCCTAAAAGCAGAGATATCAATTCACCTCTCAAGATTTCTCATGAATTCAGAATTTTACCAAAATGGTCTCTTTAATTTCACAAAATATAAAGGAAATAATGAACAATGTTTCCTAAAGTGTGACTGATGACTTGAAGACCTCAGAGTTGGGGGAAGTATTCTGATTAGTGTTGTAAATGGGGTGAAGCTTCACTTTGGCAGAATGAAATCCTACAGTTCAAAAAATGCTGTTTTTCTGTTTTTTATTTCTGGATAGCCTGCCCTTTGCCTGAAGAGTCTGGTTTGTTCCTGGAAGAGTGAGAATGTATGTGGACTTGCGCACATGCGCATGCAATTTTGGTACAAGCATTTGTTCATAGAAGATTATAGGATTAAAGAGATAGGTGGAAGCTTATTTTTTTGTTGTTGTTGCCTGTTTTTCCTTTCCTTCTTTTTTTCAAAGATTTTATTTATTTATTTGACAGACAGAGATCACAAGTAGGCAGAGAGGCAGGCAGAGAGAGAGAGAGAGGAGGAAGCAGGCTCCCTGCTAAGCAGAGAGCCCGATGCAGGGCTTGATCCCAGGACCCTGAGATCATGACCTGAGCCGAAGGCAGAGGCTTTAACCTGCTGAGCCATCCAGGTGCCCCTGGAAGCTTGTTTTTTCCTTCACCCCATGCTGAAGCCAAAGACTAAGTATAAAAACTTACTGCTCTGTGCAGCATTACTTGAAGTGGATTGTAAGGAGTTGACATGAGTTATTTATGATGAAATAAGCCAAGCTGGGAAAAGTCTCTACTGTGATTGCTTTGTCTAGATTTCGGGTGTCAGTCCACCTCTTACAGATTGTGGAAGGGGTTTTGCCTAAAGAATTCAAAACTTTGGACACAGAAAATGCAGGATGCCTTCCCTTCTAGCCCAAGGCCAGCCTTCTTTCCTGCCCCAGGCTAACAGTCACTGGAACTCCGTAGTATGGAGACATCTGGAAGATTTCCGAGGAAGAGACTCCCACTAACCCCCACCCCTGATGGCCATTATACTGTAAACCCCTTAGCCACCTTTGGAAACCACTGTGAGACAGTCTTTGTTATACTTCTGCTATCTCTAAGCCTTTAGAAATGCATTAGGAGACATTAATTAGTTTTCATTCTTTGGGAAATTAAGGAAGAGTCTTGGGAGAGAAATAGTTAAAGCAGTTGGGGCCTCATGGCAAAGGCCGTTAAGAGAACACAAGAGGTGGTAGGGAGAGCTCCACAGCAGCAGCCTGGCAAAGATGGCTGCCGCTGGTGGTGATCGTCTGTGGAACACAGAATCCTACTTTGGGGATTCCTAAGGAAATACAGACTTTTGACAACTCTTTACGCAGAATCACATTTTATTAGTGGAGCTCAAAGGCTTTCAAAACACTGAAGTGTTCCAGGAAACAGTAGCGTTATGTTGTATCTATGTTCATCTCTATTTTGCTGTGGATACCAGGAGTGTTGAAATACCTCTTTTTAAGCAACTCATAATGTCCCTGATATGTTATTCCTAAATTGTGTTTTGTGGAATACTAGGTCTGTAGCACATTAAAAGGTGTTATATAGAAGTGGTTTCCAAAGTTAAATAAATTTGGGAAATACTGAGGTAAGTAAACTGAAATAAGTTTATCACAGGATTTCTTAGAATCTTTATATACAAATATGATTTGTGAAGCTTTAAGATCTAAATATATAGCTTTTCCAAAACGTATTTGACTTTGGAATGTCATTCTATTGAACACATAGGGCTAATGCTCTGAAACATACACTTTGGAACATGATGACCTAGTATCATCTCTTTTAAAATACCAATATTTAAAAACAAAACTTGTGATGAAAAGTGACCAAGCCACAGCTCCTTTTTACTTTTTCTGGCACTCCCAATTTTATGTCCCTATGTACAACTGTGTGGTTGTTTCATTTAAACATCTTGTAGGGGCACCTTGGTGGCTCAGTTGGTTATGCGACTGCCTTCAGCTCAAGTCATGGTCCTGGAGTCCCAGGATCACATCCTGAATCAGGCTCCCGACTTGGCAGGGAGTCTGCTTCTCCCTTTGACCCTCCCTGATCCTTCCCTCATTCTCTCTCAAATGAATTTAAAAAAAAAATTCTTTAAATACCTTGTAATTAAGTAAAATTAATCAATCTGGTGTTGGGTTCTTAAGCTATTATCTTAGCAAAATATGTAAGAGAGCAGATATGCCACTTTAAACATGAGGCACTTTATTTTCTTCACTCTTGCATTAAAGCCAGCACTGCTATAAACGAGTTAATTTTTTAAAACAATCAAACTAAACATTAAAAAGAAGCCTGTCATCTTAAATAAAGGAACAAAGTGTACAGATATGTGAAATGAACATTCTTTATTACTCCTCGAGTACGTGAACATGAGTACACTTAAGATAGCTGTTTTTGTTTTTAAAATATGAACAGTGCCTCCACTCCACGCCTAAAACAAATACGCCCTTAACTCGGTGATATATTTTCAGTCTTTGTGTATATCTCCTCACTCATATCCACCAGCAGCCTCTCTTCCCTGCCCTCTCACTTCATCTCAAACTTCCTTTCGCCATCTCTTAAAGATCTCTGACTCATTTAGTCTTTAGCACCAATAAATAAGGATCCTACTGCTACTGTGTCACCCCATTGGGATCGCAGCTCCTAACATCACTTTTCTCAAGACACCTATAAACTAGGAGTAAGAGAAAATTAGTGCATTGATTTTTGAGATTTTTACATTTTATATTTCCATTCTCAAACCCATTTCTTTTCCTTAGTATCTCCAAGGTAAGGATGGATTCAGTTAATAGTTTGGTTTTAATTCAGTCCTGACTTAGAGCTCAGGAGAGTCATTCATTAACTTTTGTAAGAAACATGGGAACTTCACTAACCTGGATTTCTGGACCAGACTTATTTCCCTCAGGTAGGCCTGGACTGTTAATATCTTTAAAATCCCCGATGGTTTATAAAACAAAATAGCCTTAGAACTGCCCACGTAAGGTTTTATTACATGACATTAATGCATATTTGACTACATTAATTCCTGCTTCAAGACGATCTCCCATTCACACACAGTGCCCTGGTATGCTAGTGATTTTACGATAAGAACATTGGATGTTACTGATGTGAAGACAGGTCATTAAAAGCAATCTCTATTTAAATGTCAAGTTAAATCACAATTACACATAAACTCACATGCCAAAAGAACTTTGTGGCTGAGATGAAGTATAACATCTCAGGAAGAGGACTATCCAGGATTATCTAGGTGGGCCCAATGTAATCATACCCATCCACCGAAGAGGGAGGCAGAAAAGTCAGAGCAAGATTTGAAGATGCCATGCTGCTGGCTTTCAAGAGGAAGGGGCCACGAGCCACGGAAAGCAGGCAGCTTCTAGAAGCTGGAAAAGGCAAGGAACTGGATTTTCCTTTAGATATTCCAGAAGGAAACCAGCCTTGCTAATAGCCAACAAGACTGACTGGACTTCTGAGGTCAAAAAGTGTTGAGAATAAAATTGTGTTGCTTTAAGTTAAGTGTTTAAATTTGTGGTAATTTGTAATATCAAGAACAGGAAACTAACAGGATAAACTATACCTCAACAAACCGAAGTTTAAAGAAAGAAGATAATGAAATATATGAAAAGTGCGGTTTGACTAAACCAACCATCCTGGGTCAGAAACCTGGCTGTGACATTTGCTTACTATGTAATCTCAGATAAGTGAATTTACTTCTTTGTGGTATGTTATCATCCATAAAATATTTCTAATGCTACCTCCTAGAAACTGTTGTACAGATTAAAGCCTATAACTTACATAAAACACTTAGCTCATCCCTAGCACTTCACACACTTTAAATAAACGGTAGCTATTATTTTATAGAGAGTATCATGGGAAATTTTTATAATAGAATATGTAACACAAATACGATATTATAGATTTCTCCAGTATCTGCCAAACACTACTAAGTGGCTATAATCTGATCCAATCTAGGAAAACAATTATTTGGATTCCTTCCCTATTTATATATTGTTTGTATGCAATAGTTATCTGGGAGAATAGTCTCAGGTTACTGCTTTTAACTATTGGATTATAACAAATATTAGTCTGAAATATGTCACATCCTTTACATAGTCTGTGACCAAATTATCCTGCAAAACAGCTTCTGAATCTAAATCTGTATTTGTATATAAGGAACATCCGTCCAACCTGCTTTTCTGGCCCTTTTCTGGGATCTATGTAGGGAACTGGTTCATTCAATGTTCTTGCATTTGTATGAATGAATTTTGCATAATATATACGTCCTCTCCCGACAAATGGTTTTGAATGTTGTGTACTTTTTCCAGGTTGTTTGTCATGTTTGATTTCTTCTTTTTTTCCAGTTACATACACTATACCACCATCTTCTATTTTATGCTCTCTGAAAAACAGAATTACATAGTAAGTAATGTATCCCAATGAACATTTTAGGACTGTGTCATAATTGTATAAAATAAAATTTAATATATTTCAAGTATCATTCAAGACAATTTAGGTTTTATTAATAGTTATAAGGGACTTATGCAATTAAAATATGGAAGGGTATCTTCTCATTTTAAATCATATAAAAGATGAAGGGATTTGTGTTAATTATGATTATTCATAATAATACACCAGCACAATGTACAGACTTTCACTTGCTTGGAATCAAAAAAGAGTAGTGATTTTATCATGGTTACAAATCCTGTTTGGAACATGTATTCATGAAGGTAAGTTACATGGTAATCTTAACTCATCTTCTTTAAAAGTTAGTTACTTAGGGGGTGCCTGGGTGGTTCAGTAGGTTGAATGACTGACTCCTGATTTCGGCTCAGGCCATGATCTTGGGGTTCAGGTATCAAGCCCAACTCTTGATTCTGACTCAGTTCATGATCTTGAGACCCAGGGATCCAGCCTAGGGTCAGGCTCCTTGCTCAGTGGGGAGTCTGCTTGAGATTCTCTATCTCCCTCTCTCCCTGTCCCTCCCTCCCCCACCCCACACACTCTCTCTCTAAAATAAATGAATAAATCTTTAAAAAAAAAAAAAAAAAGTTACTTAGTAAATTCAGTCACCTGGGCAAGGATAGCTATTTAATTTTAAAAGTTCACCTGGCAAACTTATAAAAGGTACCAAATGACCACTATTATTTATCTTTTCAGGAAAATACCACTGTGCAGGCATGAGAAAACAATCAATTCAATCTCATCACTTTTTGCTTTTAATAACTAGACTGGTACCAATGTGAACATTAAAGAATTTTTTTAAATATTAAAAAATGTTTAGAAGCAATTTATAGAAATTTTCTCCTTTTAAAAAAAGAGTGGTAGACATTATAAAAGGCAGTATTTTAAAATTTCACATACTTGGAAAATAAAGGAAAGAATGAAATAAATTAATGTGAATACTTCTTACATAGAAGCTTTTTTTTTATTTTTTTATTTTTTTTACTTTTTAAGATTTTATTTTTACATAGAAGCTTTTAAAATTAAAGCCCTGACCTATGGAAGGTAAGTAAATAAGATTACAAATTTATAGAGAAAATGAGCAGTTCTGCTTAGTCTTGGCCCTGAAAATATAACCCCTCCGTTACTTCAAAACAAAGTCAGGTTCATCTTTTCTATCATATCATTTTTTAGTGAAAACCCCCAAATGGCTTTGTGTTGCATTTATAGTGAATACTGCTGCCTCATCAGCTCTGAGGCTGCAGGATCCAGCTCCAGCTAATCTCTTCAAAGGCAATGAGACCACTCTCCCCTCACTTCTCCAGACAGCACACCTGCTTTCAGTTCCTGGACACACCAGTTATTTTCCTTCAGGACACGTGCACACAGTGTCCCCTCTGCCTGGGCAGTTCTTCCCTGGGTCCCTGCAGCACTGGTCCATTATCTTTAGGTCTCCGCTTAAAAGCCATCTCCTCAGAAGCTTTTCCTAGATTTCCCCCTTCCTGCCCCATGTAGTCTCTATTTTAGTACTTTCTTTCGTAATACCATGATTTATAATTTACGTATCTAGTTTTGTTTTGTTTTTTGGTAAGCACTACAAATACCCTTTACTGGTCAGTAGCTCTCCATAAGGGTGAAGGAAGACTGTGTTTCTTTCATCATTATGTAGCTACCTGGGGAAGCATCCTGTTCATCACAGTTAAATGGACCGCCATTATAGTATTTGCATATTTCTGGTGAATCTGCTGGGATTGTTTTTTATTCTGGCTTAGTGTAACTGTATACACCCAACCCCCACTCCAATATACATAAAAACAACATTCAGCACTCTTGGACCCTAGCTCCCTGCAGCCCAACACAAATTGCTCTCTGTAAGGTTTTGGAAAAACTGATTACTGGTCAAGTGTGAGTAACTTCTAAGGCTTTTTCTATTACCTTTAAATAAACACTTATATCTCTGGAAAGGTCATGATCGATTTTATTATAGACATCGGACATCAGTTCTTTCCATCTGCTTCTCATGGTCGTAACTCAGCAATATACTTGCACTGGCATCACATCCTTGAAGGAAGGGACTGTGGCTCTATGCTTGCGTGCATATGCATTCGTTCAAGTAAGTATTTGGGGTGTGAGTAGCTATAGATTAACACTTAAGTGTGAAGTATATGATTCTGTAGTAATTTCTTAATAGAAGGAAACACAAAAATGGGCAGTGAAGAAAGGCAGACAGAGTTGGAATCTCAACTCTGCCATCTAATATCTGAGCCTTGATTTCCTCCTTTGCATGGTAAGGCCAAGAATGCCTATTAAGAGAGATGTGACAATAACGTTGAATAATTCATTCTTTCAACAGATATTTATTGAATTTTGTGCCTGGTGCTGCTCAAGGCACTGAGGATACAGCAGTGACAAAACAAAAATTCCTGCCCTCACAGAGCTTACATTCTAGTGAGGGAAGGCAGATGAGAAATCAAATAATAAGTAAAACATACAGTCTTTTGGGTGGTGTTAAGTGCTAAGGACAACAACAGAGCAGGGAATGGGGAAAAGGAGTGCATGTATGTGGGAGGGAGGCTGCATTATGAAGGTGGCAACTGAAAAAAGGAAAGAGGGGAGCGAGCTAAGAGGATATTTGAGGAAGGGCATTCTAGCAGAGTGAACTGTAATTGCCAAAGTATGGCAACAGAAGCACCTGGCCTTAGGTGCTTCTCTAAGTGTGGCCCCAGAAGGAGCTGCATTGTCATCAATTTTACTTGATAGTACAAATTCACCCGCCCCATCCCAGGAAACTTAACCTATCCCAGATAGTTTCCCAGGAAACTTAACCAGCTCTCCAAGTGATTCTTAAGTATGTTGAGAACCACTCTTCTAGTGACAAAAATACAGGCTTTGGAAGCAGATACCCCTGTACCTGTTGGTATTAAACTGTAACACCTTGGTCAATAGTTCTCAAAATTTAGGGTACATAAGAATCACCTGGAGGCTTGTTAAAACCAAGATTATTTATTGTTCTCAACTCCAAATTTCTGATTCAGTATATCTGTGGTAGGGAGCCTGCAAGAATATGCGTTTCTAGTAAATTCTCAGGTGATGCTGGATTGGGGCGGGGGTGGGGTGGGGTGGGGTGGAGAGCACACTTTAAGAATCACTGCTAGCGGGGAGGCTTGCGTGCTGGAGCAGGGTGCAGTCAGAGGGCAAGCAGCAGATAAGACCAGGTAAAGGAAAAGGGGCAGTTTGTCGCGGTCCCACAGGCCACTGCAAGGACCTTAGCGCTTACTCTGCAAGGGCCCATGGAGAATAGTGATCTAACCTACGCTGTAAAAAAAAGGGAAAAAAAAAAAGACCTCTCAGACTGCTAAGTGGAGAACGCACAGAGGCAAGGGGAGCAGCAGAGACTGTTACAACATCCAGGTAAGAAACGCTGGGCCAGCGTGGGGATGATGCTGGAATTCTGGATATATTTTAAAGGTAAAGCCTAAAGAATTTGCTAATAATTTAGATGTGGGGTGTTAGGAGTGGAAGATTCCATGGGACTTGAAGACTGTTGGGCCCGACAACGCCTGTAAAGCGCCTGATACAGTGGGTGCCGGGTAAGCAGTGTGTTTTAAAAAAGTATTCCAGTAAGCGCTCAACTACTAGAGATAGGAAGGAAGAGGAAAAGCTCTGATAATGGCCCGAGGACCGAACCCTCGGGTCTCACTTCACCCTCCCCGAAGGAAGGAAATAGTTTCAGAAGGGGAAATAGAAAACCAAACCCCAGCACTTACTGCCGCTTATACTCCTTTCCCTCCATGGGCTCCCGCGGCCTGACACGAGGCAGTGAGGAGCCTCGCGGGAAGATCCGGGACTAAGCCCTGCCTGGAAAGGGGCGCGCGGAGAGCCGTGACTGTGACTCGTGCGTTGCTAAGCGATGGCGGGCTCCCTGCGCGCGGCCTCGGAAACCCGCAAGGGGGCGGAGCCGGAGCACGCAGGCGCAGTAATCCGAATGGGCTCCGCGAGCTTGCTGGTGCTGCCGCCTAACCAGGCGGGGGCAGGTGGTTGGGTCTATGGGCGTCTTTTCCCGACCCGCCCCAGGCTGAACGCTGTGTGTTTGAACTTGGCCTTTCCTATCGGTCCGGGTGGAGTATTTATTAAGGCCCACCCTGGCCTTGGCGATCAAAAGGGGGCGGTTCCCAGAGCCTCCCCCGCGGCCCTAGGCTCTGGTGCTGGAGGCTTGCGTATCTGCCAGCCTCGCAGGAGGCCTCCCCGGCGCTGCCCACGTCTGCCGGAGCTGGCTCCAAAAGTGCACGCAGGCAGGAGAGAAGCTTGTTTACGTGAACCGTTAAATACTGTGCAAGTAATGATTGCTGCTCCTGGGCTGACTAGTCTTTGCTTGAAAAAGCTTGGCTGTCGCTGTTCTCCACGATTTCTGGCAAATCTTTCCACGGCCCGGCAGCAAGCATTAAAATAGAGCAAGGGAACACTCATCTCCTGCAAACGAGACTCCCCGCGGTGTGTGCATCTGCTCCAGCCTGAATGGGGTTCAGAATCGGGCGGAGGGAACTGTAGGCTATGGCAGCAGGTTGGGGCTGGTATTCGTAGCGCTTATCTAAAAAGAGCAAGTTCCTGGGAAAAGCAGTTGATGACTTGCGTCCACCTTCTGGCCCCCGGTTTTCTTACCTCATTTCATCATTGCTTCCCAGTTTCCATTACCAGAGCCAAATTTCTTTGGCATCAGCCATCGTAATTCTTGTATTTGCCTGGATAATGGGAAAAGAAAAATCCTTATTGAGTTGAATTCTGCTGTATAATCAAGCTATGCTTGTGCATGTGTTTTGTAACCCAGAGCCAGTATTAATATGTATTTACATTTACCTGGAGTAATGTGGGGAGAACCAAGTCTGGTCGCTGGACTCACTGTACATACGTGAGAAGAATATATGAATAGAAGTTTGATAGCTAGTTACCTACACAACTAAATTGGTAAAGAGTGGAGTGTGTATAAATACATGTGTGTTTGGGGAATAAGGTTTTGGTGGGTACATACGTATGGGGAGAGTGGGTTGAAAACCCCTAAATGGGGGAACTAACAATTGAGTTCCTGCTTGAGAGCTGGCCGTTTGTTCAGCACTGTATGACACCACGTACTTACTTGGTCATTGTCTCTGGGTGTTTGAATCCTGGTTCCACCCCTTAGTAGCTGCTTCAGTTGGGCAAATGATCTATTCTCTCTGAGCTTCAGTGTCTCCAACCACAAAATGAAAATATTTCTTTTTATTTTTTAATTTTTTAAATAAACATATAATGTATTATTAGCCCCCGAGTACAGGTCTGTGAATCGCCAGGTTTACACACTTCACAGCACTCCCCATAGCACATACCCTCCCCAGTGTCCATAACCCCACCCCCCTCTCCTGACCCCCCTCCCCCCAGCAACCCTCAGTTTGTTTTGTGACATTAAAAGTCTCTTATGGTTCATCTCCCTCCCAATCCCATCTTGTTTCATTTATTCTTTTCCTATCTCCCAAACCCCCCATGTTGCATCTCCACTTCCTCATATCAGGGAGATCATATGATAGTTGTCTTTCTCCAATTGACTTATTAAAATGAAAATATTCTTAAGGTTGTTCTCGAGTGAAGATTTCTTAATACAGGCAGAGTACTGACCGGGGTGGGTGGGGCAGGCTTGTGGTCAGTCCATGGTCATTATTAGCTTGGGTTTTGACTAAGAAATTTGATGGGATATGCTACCCCTTGTCTTTAAGACCTAGTCAACTCTCTCATCAGTCCCTCTAATATTGATTTCATCCTTCACCAGTCTCTTCAAGCTCCTAAAACCACTCACCTTCAGGGACAATCCCAACTGCTTGCTGTCAAGAAATGAGGACTTTCTTAACTTTGTCCCTTTCAAAACAAATTCACCTGCATTCATACAAGATGACCTTTGTTTGGTTCTATTTTGAGTCACATAGTATAAGACTAAAATCTAAATATATCTATGTCAATCTCTTTCCAATTATTAAGCAGTTCATATATATGTAGATGTATTGAGGGATGTAAGAAACATTTTAAAAAGATAATTATGCCTACCACAGAGAAGCCACAATCTGGTTAGGAATATAAGAAATAGATACTGGGAAAAGTTGTGAACAATGACACATGATACTAGTATGTAACTGGTAGTCATAAGTGTCCAATTTCAGTGCTGAGGATAATACGGTATTACAAAAATGTGCCCAGTTTTTTAAAAATGCCAATTACTTATGACTGGTACATCCTCTGTAAGGCACTGCAAAACAATGCAGATTTTATAATAATAGTAACTTTTTAATGTAGAAAAAGCACTGGGGTGTTAGTTTTTTCTACTACGAACTAGCTGCTCTAACCTAGGAGCAACACTTAAACCTGTCTGCTATAGATTTTCACTTGTAAGGGGGGAAAAAAAAGGTAGTCAGATGAGATAATCTCTATGATCCCTTTCTGTAAAATACAGTGATTCTACTGGGAAATTTATGTTTGAAAATCAGTGAACACACTAGCCTCAATCATACATGTAATTTTCTCGTGTTAGGTAGTTTGGATTCTTGTCAGCGGAGAATAATTCAAAGTAGCTTACTAATATTGTGCAAGTTAAAAATACCAGTGCTATTTGAGCGAGAACACCATATGTGAGGAAACACAATAGGATAGAAATTGCTCATCCGAAATGTTATAGATGCTGAAAATTGTCAACACTTTTTTTCAAACCATAGGAAAATGTCAAAAATAATGAAGGTACAGTTGTATAACTTGAGAGGAAAAGAGAGTCCGGCTTCCTCTCAATTCTTTCTTCAGTCATGTGATACCCGTGAGGAGCTCAAGAGTATGACATCAAGCCAAATCTATCTCTACTTTTGTTTTTAAAGATAGTTCATTTGCCTCATTTATATGTATTGTATAGGTTAAATGAGAAAACAGAATTTATCCTGACACATAGTAATCACTCATTAAAACTTGGCTGTTAGTTTTCTACCTGTTTTTGTAATTAGTAGACAGTTCATCAAGTACATGTATTATATTATCTGTTTTTGTCTTTATTTTATTACCTTAGACCAATACTTTTTTAAAGATTTTATTTATTTAAGAGCGAGAGGAGCAGAGGGAGAGGGAGTCCCAACGTGGGGCTCGATCGGGCAACCCTGAGATCATGACCTGAGCCAAAATCAAGAGTCAGCTGCTTAACACACTGAGCCACCCAAGTGCCCCTTAGACTAAGAATGCTTTCAACCCAAAATATACATTAATTTGAGAGCAATGAAAATGAGAAATGTTAGTGTTAGGTTTACCTTTGAAAATTAATAGGTTCAAATGAATTACAGATAGGAAAGAGGCCCTGATCTGGTCTAAGTTTAAAACTAAGTGATTTACATTGTACTTTAAAGAGAGATAAAGGGCACCTGGGTGGGTTAAAGTGGGTTAAAGCCTCTGCCTTTGGCTCAGGTCATGGTCTCAGGGTCCTGGGATCGAGCCCCGCGTCGGGTTCTCTCTGCTCAGCAGGGAGCCTGCTTCCCCCTTTCTCTCTGCCTGCCTCTCTACTTGTGATCTCTCTCTGTCAAATAAATAAAATCTTTAAAAAAAAAAAAAGAGATAGATGATAAAACAAGCAGGAGGTGTTACATCAATTAAAAGGTAAAAGTCTCTAGTATAAATCATGTAGATCATTCTAAACAGATATATGCATGAATATGTTTATATTCATATAATGTATACATAAAAGTCTTAAGTTTTATGAGCTCTCTTGAAATAACTAAAGCAATTACAGGCAGCCTGGTTACTCCGAAATCATGGTCAGAAATCACGAGTTTGGCAATTTACCCCATTGAAGGAAGAAACCTGTATTTTATGAGTTCAGAGCATTCTAGTCACCACTGTAATTCATGACTCAAGGTTTATTTTCAAATAATCCACCTATGGTACCTTACATAGAAGCTGTATAAGCGAAGGATGAATGAAGGTGGTCCTAGGCAGCTGTTAGTAAAGGGCCGTGTTGGTACTATCGTGATGTCCTCAATTGAGTGGTCATGTAGTAAAGATTTATTGAATGAACAGCTATGGACATATTGCTTCTTCAGAAAGGAATGCAAAATGAAACATGGTTGAGGTGGTTACCATTCTCAAAAAGTTAGGAATCCCTAGTCTAAGCTAATTTTGATGGTTTTCGGTCTTTTAGCATATTTTTGGGGCTGTTTTCCTTGTTTGCTATGAAGAATTCCAGAGATGTAGTATTGACTTGCAAGGAAGGGGATCACATCTTAGTATTTGATTATTGAGCAATCCAACATATTGAGCATTCCACACCTTGTAAGTTCTGGCCTCTCCTCACTGGACCGTAAGATTTATGGTTGATTCATTTAAGGTTCTCAGCACCCAGGAACGTACCTTGCAAACAACAGGTCTTATCAATGAAATTATCAATGAAATTAACTCAGAAAAAATACCCAGAAAACACAAAATATACTACTTTGAGCTTTTCAGTGTTTTTAATGGACATAGATAGTAATTGTTTAACAACTTCCTTAGAGAATCTCCACATTTTAAAAATGGTAATTAAAACTACCTTCTAAACTAAGCAACTTAAGTTTTTCAATTCCTGCGAAATAAAATCTACCTTTGATCCCTTTGATGATACAACTATTCTCTGTACTTGCCCTAGGAGAGGAGAACTCATGGTTACTGAAATTCAGGGTCAGAGCTGAGCTTAAGCCCTAGCTGCATTTTTAAAGCTCTCTGACTCTGCGTAAGTTATTTAAATTCTTTGAGCTTTAGATTTGGACT